TGATGTCTTTATTACACAGATTAAGGAAAGATGAAGGAAGTTTAGTAATCAGTCCTAAATGAACATGGTTCAGGTTTTGGACACGCTGCTAACACCGGTGAGCGCATGTTAGTTATTTACACCGCTCCTCAACCACAATCCCTTAAATAAACACAACTTAAACTTCAAGAAACTTCCAAGTCCGAATGCCTAAAATAAATAAAAAATCGCCCCAATGCACGTGGCTGTAAAGGCCTTGGATAACGTTACCACTTTGGGAAAAAGATGGCGCCTTTTTGACAAGCTTATGACAGTGAAGGAGAGCAGCGCTTTGAATGGTTATATGGCTTCTAGTAGGAAGTATATATTTGCCGTTGGTTATTGTAACTTAATATTGACAGTAGCTGGTGACCTCGCCTTGTTGAACACTACCAAGCTGACTGTCGTTCATTTCCCGATGAGCGTCAGTATGTCACGTAATTACGTTGTCAATCGAGCGGAGACATACAGAACTACTTTAGGGGGATTCCTCAATGTTTAAAAATATCATTGAAACTGAGGGCGACATCGATTCAGGCAATGAATGATGTAGGCTTTGAAGCGGGACAGATCATGTATATGTCGAAATGAAGCGTCCATTCGAGGCTATAACTGAGAATGTTCGACTTACTAAAAGAAATCACTAAGCTCCACACTGTCGTGTATTACTTCAGGGGATCCATCCGCGCCGCCACAAGCGGTCATCAGCAGCGTAGTATGACTCAAACACACATCCTAAGTTCACAGAACGTTTTTTTCAGCATCACCCGGGTCTTGATTTCTTCCCAACGCTATCTTTACTGAGTGCTGCTTTTATTTCAACTGAATGACATTCCCATTGCCGCCATTTGTAAAACCAAGGGATGTCACTCCAAATGGAATGTTTGGGAAGTATGACGTCACGACGTCACGGATTTTCTCGTCCATAATATTTCCCCCGTGTCCGAAAGTAAATCTTTGAAAAAACTAAAACATAAGTGCGAATTTATGAAGATATGTTGCACCATGATAGGGTTCATACGTGTTTATGGCATCACAAAGTACAGATACAATGTATGTGATCAATAAATTGTGACAAATCTTCCTGAGAAGTTTTCTCATTAACCAGAAGGCATATAGACCTTAACCTGTGTGAGGGGTGGCGGGAAAGCCTCGTGGTAAAAAGCGTTTGCTTGTCACAAGGGTACAATGGAATATGCGGCTCATACTAACACTAAATTCCGAGAATATTGACGACAAAAAGGACACAAAAATTTGATGCAGCTGTTTGATAAACCAAGATTAACATAATGTACTTGAAGTAAAACAGGAGAAATATTTTTTTTATGCTTAAATGTTTGGCCCCTTGTGACATGTTCACATAATGTACTTGAAGTAAAACATGGAGAAATATTTTTTTATGTTTAAATGGTTGGCCCCTTATGCCATGTTCACATATTGAAGCAGTGTCGTCTTTTGTGCTAATCCTCTATTTCCAATTGCAGTACCTCGAACTGAGATTTGGGAAGCGATTACGGATAATGGCATCTCTTAGCTTGACTGTACAAGTGGTAAAACAGTTATTGGAGTTATTTTTATGAACGAAGTGGGTATATTAGCTTGAGTTCGTTATGACTAGTTTACTGTTTATTATGGCCTATGACCTTTTATTGTAATTACGTCCGAGCATATGCTTTGAGATATACAAGGCGTTGAACAGTAAACGTACACACATGGCAAGACATTTATCACTTTGTGAAGCCCATGATTCTGAGATTTCGATTTGCCAATAAAACCCCGAAATAGAACACACATACTCCTTGGATGGCACTCCCTTTTGTGTGTAGGGGCATGTTCACATGTTCACTACCAGGGTATAGAGAAGTGGGGAATTGCTGTATAGTTTTATGTGGATTTGGAGCTGGAAGATATATTAAATTATTATGAAACGTATTTGATTATGTTGAGCGCAATCCTTAAAGAGACTTTTCATCTAGTTAATATATCATACTCCGATTGCTTAGATCTTTGTTCATGCAATCAACCATTCATTTGCCTGACAGATACACTAGCTACTCAATGTTATTCAGGCTGTCGTCATCTAACTTTAACATTTCTGACCAGACCTTGAAACACCATTTTCTCTTAAGTGTATGGGTATTTGTCTTAACGTTGCATACATTGCAAGTGAATTGATTTTCAGCTGATGTACATGGCGTTTGTCCTTTTTGCACCTTCACTGGTGCTTTATTCAGGTAATATACTACAATTATAAACAAAAGATATCTAGTATTATTCCACATGTTGTAGTAATTTAATGTGAATAATATTTCAAACTTATATAAAGCCTGTATACATGTAGTTCTCTGGCAATGTTAAAGTAGTGTTCAAGGCGGTGTCATTAACATATCTTGTAAGAACTGTTTAGTTAAAAGTATGATTAAAGTCAGGAATTGAGTTGTGCAACTCTTCCGTATCCAAATGGTTCGATGTATGATAAGGGTTATGATCACAGAGTAAAGTGTTAATGTTTAAGAAACAACTATCAAACATGTAAGTGTTCTTTTCTTCGCTTTCGCCATATACCTCACACTGTGACAGTATTTTTTGAATATTAAGTAAGGGTCGCCAGATATGCCATATTCCTTTTGCTTTTTTACGGCTTTGCTGAGCTGATTTACAATTCATTAAATGTAAATGAAATCTTCTATACTTGCTTCAGTGACTGGGCTGGACCTATGGCTGTCTGTCACCACTATTGGGATCATAGTGACCTTATACACAGCTCTGGTGGGAATATTTGTAATACATGAATCGGTGGATAAATGAGTGGATGGATGGATACATGGAAACACTATTTCAGTTTGTACTAACTTGAAAATTATATATGGTATATGGTAAGTTTCCTGCATGTGCCCAAACCTGTAACGTGGCAACAATATCACTAATATATCATCTATGATGTCTATTTCACATGTGTTCACATTTAACCGAAAATGTATAATATTTCCTCCATATCGCCTTATGTTACCCAATAATGCATTATAAAATGTGCTTGTATCTTTAGGGAGGCATGAAGACAGTTTTGTGGACTGACAGTCTACAGACAATCATCATAGTAGTTGGGCTCGTTTCTCTGCTAGTTCAGGGATCCCTGGCGGTGGGAGGCTTCTCTAGGGCCTGGGAAATTGCGAAGGAGAGGGGGCGCCTGCGATTCTTTGAGTGAGTCTTTGACACAAACCTATGTCTACATGGACCTAAATGTACAACTAAATTCCTCAACATATTGCCACAGTTGTGTTCATACATGAACATACTCCCACATATTTATCCATACACCAGCATACCACCAAAGGTGTGTCCATACACCAGCATATCACCAAAGGTGTGTCCATACCCCAGCATGTCACCACAGTCGTGTTCACATCAACATACTATCACAGACTTATCCATACCCCAGCATGTCACCACAGTCGTGTTCACATCAACATACTATCACAGACTTATCCATACCCCAGCATGTCACCACAGTCTTGTTCACATCAACATACTATCACAGACTTATCCATACCCCAGCATGTCACCACAGTCGTGTTCACATCAACATACTATCACAGACTTATCCATACCCCAGCAAGTCACCACAGTCGTGTTCACATCAACATACTATCACAGACTTATCCATACCCCAGCATGTCACCACAGTCGTGTTCACATCAACATACTATCACAGACTTATCCATACCCCAGCATGTCACCACAGTCGTGTTCACATCAACAGACTATCACAGATTTGCCCATGCACCAGCATAGCAATACGGTCGTATTCATACATCAACCTACTTCCACATATTTGTCCATACATCAACATGCACCTACAACTGTGTCCATACATTTACCTACTAACACAGCTTTGTCCATATATCTACAAACTATCACAGATATTTCAATAAATCAAGAGACAACCATTACTCTAGCCATAAATCAACACCATATCACATACATCAATATACTACCACAGATTTGTCAATAAATCAAATTACTACAACATATCTGTCCATAAATCAACATACTGCCACATACAATGTAGTTGGCAATAAATCAACACACTACCAAATGGTTGTCAATAAATGAACATACTGCAACAGCGTTGTCCATATAGCAACATTTTACCACATCAGTGTCACTACATCAACATACTACCACAGCTTTGTCCATACATCAACATACTACCACAGTTTTGTCCAAACATCAACATACTACCACAGTTTTGTCAATACATCAACATACTACCACAACTTTGTCCATACATCAACATGCTACCACAGCTTTGTCCATACATCAACATACTACCTCAGCTTTGTCCATTCATCAACATACTACCACAGCTTTGGCCATTCACCAACACACTACAAAAGCAGTGTCCATGCATCAACATACTACCATATCTTTGGCCATACATCAAAACACTACCACAGTTTTGTCCATTCATCAACACAGTATCCATACATGAACATACTATCAACACACTACCATAGCTTTAACCATTCATCAACACACGCCCACAGCTTTGTCTATACATCAACATACTACCACAGCTTTGTCCATAAATTTACACACCACAAATTTGTCCATACATCAACATATTACCACATCTCTGTCGTGACTTTAACATATTAACACAACTTTGTTCACTAATCAACAAAAAACGGCATCGCCTTCAGTTTCACCTATGCACTAGTTCACACGACAATATTATCCACGAGTCTTTAGGACAACCTGTATGCTTTCTCTTCTCTAAAAACGGTAGTCTTCTCCTGGTAAGTAGATTGACTCTAAGACAGTAAGCGGAGACTGAGGATCTCGCAAAAATGATAAAATATATGCGTATTAGCTTTCATCTGAAGGACTATATCAAAATAAGTAAAACTGCACAATTGTATTCATCTGATTTTAGTTTCAACCCTAGCCCAGGGGTGCGGCATTCGGTATGGTCTGTGGTTATGGGTGGAGGAATCACGTGGGTGTCCAAGTTCGGGGTCAATCAAATAGTGACACAGAGACTCATGTCCTGCCCTACCCTCAGGAAGGCGAAAACGTACGTATGACGTTCCACGTTGGAATGCTGTACACGTAAAACGCCGCACTTATACTATAAGCTCACCGGGTCCGAAGGTCCAACGTGAGCTTATGCCATACCGTGGCGTCCGTCGTCCGTCGTCCGTCGTCCGTACGTCAACAATTTTTTTCGAACGAACTTCTTCTTGTGAAACACTGATTGGAATTTAACGAAATTTGACTGGAAGCATCCCTAGGTCGTGGGGAAAGAACAAATGTACAAATGGTAGCGCTGACCCCACAGGGCCGGGGCCATATAGGGGTAAACGACTTCTTCTCTGAAACTAAGGATAGATATCGACCATATATGGTTGGAACCATTCTCCGGTAGTGGGGATACAAAATTTTACAAATAGAAGGACTGACCCCCAAGGGGCTGAGGGGCGGGGTCAAATAAGGGGTAATTTGGCTATATTGCTTTAAGCGACTTCTCTGGAACTAAGTGATAGATATGAACCATATTTTCTTGGAAGCATTCTCCTGTGGTGAGGATTCAAAATTGTACAAATGGTGCGGTTGACACAACCAAGTGGACACAGTTAAGATCCCCAACGTATAACCATATTTACAATTGCTGAGTATAATGAGAGGAATGCATATATGCTACGAGGATGGCCCGAGGGCTCTTGCTCCACCCCTGGGAACTTAGCCCTTGGGTAATAACTTTGAAACAGTTGAGATCCCCACCCCATAACGATATATACTGATGGGCATAAAGCGACAAACACAATCATGATATCATAATAAGGCCTGGGGTCTTGCCACACCCCTAGGGAATAGGTTCTTGGGTGAAAACATGGAAACAGTTGAGATCCTCACCCTATTACCCTATACATGTATACATGCAATTGCTTAGTATAACAGGACAACTACACATATGCTACCGAGGTATACGGCCCCATTCTACTTATATCGTCCCTAGCTTCAGGTCATAACTTTGAAAAGGTTGAGATCCCCACCCCATAAGCATTTCTTCACTTTCTAGGCATAAAGAGAGGAATACAAGTGCCGTAGATGCAGATTAGGCAACTACCTCACACATAAATATCACAATAATACAATTTGTCAATAAGATGTATGTTGAAGTTACCATAGATCTACGTAATTCTGACGGTGTTTTAAATCCTCGAAAAATATTTCCCTTGGGGGAACTTTGCTTCCCTCCCTCCCCCGGACTCGCTGTACCCCCCTTGCCTGAAGTCTCCACAACTACGCCCCTGACACAAATGCTATCCCCCATCCCCAAACCGTAGAGACTTATCTTATAATAACTATCCAAGTGAAATGTAGAATTTATATTTTAAGCAGCATTACCACACTTGATACAAATCATACCCATGCTATTCTTCATTAGACAATACATCCATGCTACCAGGACTGGTCCTTCTGTTTATCTGCCCGGCACTCCCAAAGGAGTTAGAACCTTGACCATAACATGCAAACCGATATTATCCCACCCTATTAAAAACAGATAAATTGTATACATTTGTTTGTTATGAAGAAAATAATACATTTATGCAATAGGATTCGCCCTGGGGTCCAGCCTTGCCTCTGGAAACTTAGATCCTTGATCATAACATGGAAACGGTTCAGATCTTGATGATACACTTGTCTCTGGAGTAGTACACTTTCATGCTGTCAGATTTGCCACCCCTTCCATTTTAAATGCTGACAGAGTTAAAATTACGAAATATTTGCAGTATTACATACATGTACAATACAAATGTATATTTTGTCATGATTACTTAAATATCCAGGTAAGCGATAATGGTCCTATGGGCGTCTTGTTTCTTTCATTGTCAATTAATAACATAATGAAAATAAAATACATTTCTGTCTACCATGTTAACGATGAACTTCACTGCATAACTACGTAAAAAACTCATATCGAAAGATCACTTTGTTGAGAACGGAGTACGTTTTCTTTTTTTAGCCGCATACGTAACAACTGCATGAGATAGGTTTTCGAGCACAAAGTGTTACCCATCATTGTGTGTGCGTATACAGAAATGCCGTCAATATAGACGGTAATGTTTCAAGATTAATAATCTGGGTAAACAAATCTCGGGTCCACAAATTCTGAATATTTCGTTGTACCTTGTGTAGATACACAAACGTCACAAACAGTTCTCAATCATAAAGTTTCCATACAGATAGGATTAAAAATAGGCAAGATATGACAGCATTGAATTATATTGGTCGCCTTAAATATTGAATGTATTGGTGCTTAAAATCATTAGGACAGGGTTTAATGAAATCGGTACATATTTGAAAACGTTGACAAACTACCCTCAAACGTTATGGGATTAAACATGTTCAAGTATTCTTTGTATTGCAGAGCCCTATGGTTGAGTTCTGTTGGCATTGTCGTCATTGTGACTTTGTGCACACTGATAGGGGTGCTCATACATGCATTCTACAAGGACTGTGACCCATTGCAGTTCAATGACCTCGTATCTGGTTCTGATGAGGTGAGATATCAACCAACAATCAACAAAAGTCATTGGTTGATGCCAAAATATCTACCTGTCGCTGATACAGGTGTTGTCAATACTGTGATGTTCATATGTATTTGATTTGAACTAAAATACCCCCAAATCACGTGTCGTTTATTTGGGAAATCTTACAATAAACGTTCATGCAAAGGGGTTCCGGGAACGTCTAAGGTTTCCAGCAACCTAGAGGTAACTATAATGATCGTGTGGCCAGGCTAGGTGACTTGAATTGGTTGATTGCATGTCCCAAATACGTTGATCGATGTTTATGTTGTCTGTCAGAGGATTGGCGATTGATTACAAGCCGTCGTGTAGTTGGAATACTGCTGAGTGCGGCGTCAAAAAAAAAAAAAGCAAACGCACAAAACAGCTCAAACAAAGTATACAGGGTCAGAACACCGTACTTTCTCATTCACTTTTTACAGCGGTTAGGTACACCCCGTAGCCCAATCAGTTGTTGATGTTCCGCAGCCAAATATACAGACATTATCAAATATTGATAACTCTGTTCTTGGCTACTTAAATGTTGCGTATATGATAATAAAACACTAAAACACTTACATCGTGTTATTCTGCAATTATCTTTTTTACAATGCAAATGTTTTATTTGCATTTTCATTTTCAGCTGCTTTCGCTGTTTGCGATGGACATATTCGCAACCACGCCCATCCTGCCTGGTATCATTGTGGCATGTATCTTCAGCGGGAGCTTAAGGTACTGTCCCTGCGAAATAGGCACCGATAATGAATGAACGTTCACCTTTTTAGACTGAAGTGGTGTAAAGTGCCAGTTATAACAGAGGGCTCAGGTGCCTCAGTCAACTGAAGCGACGAAATTCGCTGTGCAAAGTGACGTGCCAGAATCATATCCCACATTGTTATTCTTAGTTTTCATCATTGGTGTTCCGTTTTCAAGTCATTTGATCACTGAGAAATGATTTGTTTCTTTAAATATTATTTATTAAATGTCCTGTGCATTATTTATAACCTTTTGGATGAGGTCGTATCTGTGACAGCTATCTTAAGCAGTGTTCCCCATACTTCATAGCACGCTGTCGTCGGGTCTGAACGCCCTTGCTGTAGTCATGCTGGAGGACTACATCCGGCCCTACTGCTGCACCACCTTCACCGACTTCCGGGCCACAGTCGTCTCCAAATGTCTTGGTGAGTATAATCTTGAATACACACAAGTAGCACTCTAGGAAGCCAGTGTGGGTCTCTCAGACTTCGGGGGTATGATTCTTGGGCTGTGAGTATAATGTTGAATACAGACAAGTAGCACTCTGGAAAGACAGTGTAGGTCTCTCAGACTTCGGGGGTATGATTCTTGGCCTGTGAGTATAATGTTGAATACAGACAAGTACCACTCTGGAAAGACAGACTGAGTGTAGGTCTCTCAGACTTCGGGGGTATGATTCTTGGCCTGTGAGTATAATGTTGAATACAGACAAATAGCACTCTGGGACGTTAATGTGGGTATCTCAGACCTTGGGGGTATGGTTCTTGGGCTGTGAGTATAATGTTGAATACAGACAAGTAGCACTCTGGAAAGACAGTGTATCCCAGACCTCGGGGTTATGATTCTTGGCCTGTGAGTATAATGTTGATTACAGACAAGTAGCACTCTGGAAAGACAGTGTAGGTCTTTCAGACTTCGGGGGTATGATTCTTTGCCTGTGAGTGTAATGTTGAATACAGACAAATAGCACTCTGGGACGTCAGTGTGGGTCGTTCAGACCTGCAGGATTCATTGTCTCCATGACTTCGGGAGTATGATTCATGGCCTGTGACCATGATGTCCCCGTTCCTTGGTTCCACACAACGCCTACGCCTAACACTGTGTAACATGAATTTCCCCCCAAATTTAATAAACTACTGGTCAACTTTCTTACTGAACCTACAGCAGGACAATTGATGTGGTGCGATTTATTGCAGTGGTTCTGTGTGGAACGTTGAGCATGGCTTTGGCCTACGCAGTTTCATTTTTGGGGAACATTTTCCAGGTAAGATAAGATACAGGTAGCTATTCAGAACACAAAAATAAGAAAAGACACAGGTTATACAACATATATAAGTTCTCCTTTAATAACTGTACTTTACTGTTGGATCGTATTTGCAAAAACGAATACAAAATCATAAATTTATGCGTGAATTTAAATGTGAAGATATTTCCTGCCTCTATTCTAAATGTAGAGTAAAAATATGTTCTTCAGATGTGCTACACAGTCATGAGCACCATAGACGGTCCACTGTTAGGCCTCTTTGTCCTTGGGATGTTCTGCCCCTGCGCAAATTCTGTTGTAAGTATATGCCTGACTTGTAACATATAAACAGATGATTGACAATTGTAAAGATAAATCGCTAGATCGATGGCAATACACCGATGACACCTTGAAATATCAATAGTTAACTTTGATGCCATAATACACGATCGGCAGTATCGATATACTTAATTACATTAAAATGGAAAAATACTGTTGATCATTTACATTTCTGATCAATGAACACTATAGTGAAGATGGTCCCAATAGTCACACCATCTTTGTAAGATTGACTGACAACAATTAATACACTGTGTTCTCTTTGCAAGTATTTATCCATATACGGAAATGTGTTTGTGTATCATAAAAACCATTCAGTTAATGTACATAAAAAACAGCACATGAACGGAGGACAACCCGATCAACAAATCGTTAATGAGAGAGAGAGAATTTATTAATGTCAGACTCATTATTATGAGGAACACAACATTTCGAAGTATATGATGTTACCCCTTCTTGGTGAATGACTGCTTTACAAGGATGCAGAAAGCATCTATATGTACATGCAAAAACAACAAACGTAATAAGATTACAAAGGTGGAAATTAATTAGTTAATTAGCGCTGATTGGTGATTACATTGTAGCTATTGACAAATGGAAGCCAGCTGGATTAAATAGTACAGAAAAGGTGTGTGGAGGGGGGGGGGGGGGGGGGGGGGGGGTAGTTAGGGAAATAATGCTACAGATGCAACAGATATGTTCCCTGGTCACGGTTCAAGGCTGGCTCGTATTTCTGAATGTCAGTGGCCTCTTTGACGACAGTTGTTGGTTTTTGATGGACATGATTTTGATAGTTTCCCTCATGATTGTATGGCCTTGTTTCTTGATGACCTGTTCGGAAATTGCAGTTTTTTGGTCCAGTTTGTACTCTGCATCCTAGCAGTTATTCGCGTAATGAAGAAGTAAGCATATACTCCGAAACATTGTGTTCCTCATAATGAAAAAGTTGACATCAATAAATTCTCTCTCTGATGTGTTCCACTTTGAAATGCCATTCAAAAACTTAATTCTGAAATGCTTTCAGAAACTAGGAAGTGATGTAAAAATATGTTTTAAAAAATCCAAACAGTCTAGGAGCAGCCCATTCGCCACCATGTACCGAAGGGACCCAAATCACTTTTATTTATATGATCATTTGGCACGTTATCAGACCTGACCCATGTGGCTTGATGGACTACATACAAACACAATATCCGGAAAGCGAGCCACTATAGGTCATAAGCCTACGGTCAGTTTAGGGGATATGTACCATTGGTAAGCCATTCGATACTTATTTCTCATGATAAAATCACACATTACACACAACGTTATTTAGTCACATGTCATTCTAGAGAAGATAGTAAAAACGTCAACATATGTATCATTGGTAAGCCATCACCTATAATTATTTGTCATTACAAAAAATACATATAGTATCATATAAACATTATTTAGTCGTCATATCGTATGATAATAAGAAAGTCACCCATATTTTGAGTAAATATTAAAATAAATCATTCAGTTTGTTGGGATTTCCTTAACATAAAGGAAAGCACAATTAATTTGTTGTGTGGTATAAAGAATATCATAATTGATATTTGAAAAGTTGCTTTTTCTGGAATGTTTTCCTGAACGAAATGCTCTGCTTTGTTTTAGGGAGCGACTGTTGGATATATCACTTCCTTTACATTCATGTTATGGATAAGTATGGGTGCGTACCTTAACGGTGTATCGACCCCTGTGTCCAGTACGTTCGTCAACGGATGCAACTGGAACGTAACTGGTCACAATAATACAGGACTACACACTGCTCACAACTTCACCAACGGCGATGGCCATGCTGCTGAAGAAGTAGCAGCAAAGTATGTGGCTTTAGGTTTCGGTAGTAGAAGGCCTGCTGTTATGAGTCATGTTTCGTAAAAGATAATAACGGATATTTTGAGCTACATGCCAAGTTTCTTTAATTGCTCGTGTTATCGATATCATTGTGTATCGATAAACACGGGACTCCTTTCAGTGTTTGACCGTCAGGTATTTGACTTTGTCTATTTTCAGGGGCTACTTATCAGTTTATGATGTGTCATACCTAAACTACTGCGCCACGGGAATGTTTGTCACTGTCGTCGTCGGACTAATGGCGAGTCTTGCATCACGTATGTATGTTTCGTACACATTTTTCTACCATAATTCTGTATTTGTCAATGGCCTACTGCCATTCTTATGTATTCACAAACGTGTTTTGACCATACATCCGTACCGTATCCTCTACCGATGCATTTCCTTTGCATTTGGCAAACAATGCTGGTAAAATGTTATCTGACGGGCTAATGACATTTTGCGAAATACATCTACAAAATTTAATGGAACCCTTGGTATTCTACTTGAGACTATTATTACTTCAAACAAAATTTCTGTAAACGATTTCCAACAATGCCACTAAGTAAAAAATAACTAACTATGGGGAATATGAGTTTGTGTAAGACAAAAGCGTTCATTATATCTGACGTCATAGGAAGTAATGCTACGAGACATAACTTTAAATTTTTATTTGTGATGTCATAAAGAAACGTCGTTTCTGGATTCAGATCAGCAACATTTCTTAGCTCTTGAATTACATTCTCTACGAACGAAAGGCATTTCGTTCGATTTGGAGTTTTTTATGATAACACTCAACAGGAAAGCAACAACCTACGATCGTGGGTTTCTCTAATTCCGGTTCACCCCGATTATGTTTCTAGGTTTATCAGCATCATACTCGTGCTCGTGGGTTTCACCAAAGTGGTAAATGTCTGAGACCTGCATCACTTCGGGCTTTCTTCCCCCATCAAACTGACACGCCGTGATATAACTTGAACATTGTTCAAAGCGGCGTTAAACCCAACCCACTCACTCAAATGCAACATGTACGTAGTGATTTCATAACGATTCCGCACATATGAATAAATTGCAAAAGTTTCAGATGAAATAACATGGTGTACATCGACATAATCCTGCGCCGTAATGATGATCTCAAATACTGACTTATGTACTTATTGTTACCTATCAGAGAGGGTATAAAACAAGGACTATTCGGTTTGGAGCATAACGTGTCTGAGTCGGTGAGCTGTGTAAAACCGGCATGAGTGAGGACTAGCACACACACACACACACACACACACACACACACACACTCTCTCTCTCTCTGTGTGTCACAAACACACACACATACTCTCTCTCACACACAAAGGAGCTGCTCTTACCTATACTGTGCAATAATCTTGAGCCCCGTTTCACCTAACCTTTCACCACACTTTGCCTCCAATTCTACAGTAAGATTACGACAAGTTTGAAGTTTGACGTTATAGTGCCGTTGACAGGATGCGTCGGTGAAGTTGTGTCGATTCTTTTTTCTAGGGCGGTTTGCTCCAGAAGCTTCTGTATCTAGCCAGTACAGCCGATCTATTCTAGACGAACTCTGTCCGTGTCTGCCCAAGAAGGTTTTGAAAGTGTTACGCTGCAATGCTCAATCAGAACAGGTATATACGAAAAGTAGAAAAACAAATACCTTTAAGTTTGCGCGAGAGAGAGAGAGAGAGAGAGAGAGAGAGAGAGAGGTGTTAATTAGATATTATTTGATGCATTGACTAAAAATCACAGAAAGCAGGATAAGTACTGACAATTTATTCTTTTTTCCCTTCATCTCAAATGTACATATGTATTTCGTGCTTGTTTATTTTTCCAGCAGTACGAAACGAGTGAACAGATCCCATTCGATGTCACCGTACACGCCATTTAACGAAGCTGTATGTAAGATCGTAAGATGGTCCGTTTATCAAACATGCCACACATGTTCACTTCCTTTCATGTTTGATAAACGGGCCAGATAAAGTTCTAAATACGTTGCAGATCATATTTAAACGTTAATAAGTAATCGATTATTTTGCGCATGGCTGATGGTCATCGGGGCACTCAATCAGACAACTAAACCCATCCATTGGAAAACTATTGTTAAAAAATACAATACAATCAGATATGGAAGACATTACATTTCAACCTTTATGGTGTTATCACTATTTCAGAAACACGTCATATCTCATAAGAAACTGACCCGGGAAGATCCAGGTTAGAATAGGTTTTCAGCAACCCATGCTTGCCGTAAAAGGCGACTATGCTTGTCGTAAGAGGCAACTGATGGGATAGGGTGGTCAGGCTCGCAGACTTGGTTGATGCATGTCATCGTATCCCAATTGCGTGGATCAATGCAATGATGTCAATCACTGGATTGTCTGATTCAGACTCCATTATTTACAGACCACCGTCATATAGCTGAACTATTGCTGAGTGCGGCCTAAAACAACACACACGCATGCACGCACGCACGCACGCACGCACGCACGCACGCACGCACGCACGCACACACACACGCACACACACACTTGATTACAGGCACTTCCAATACTGGCCAAAATCAAGGAGAGAAACTATTGATAATGTCGGTTTCACAAATCTACATAATATAACCTTTACTGATAAAGATTTGTCTGAAGAGAAATATCCAACTATATGCCGAACAAAGAATTGTTTTACATTGAGCATGGTTGACAATAGAAATGAATGAGAGTTGTTGTCATGTTTATTCGGAATGTAAAGAAGCATAAATTATGGAATGACCTCCAAAGTTTCTGAACACATACGATGGCTGCTCAATAATTCTAAGCGTAACAAACAAAACCAGCAATTGTGAAAGTGTTTTTAGTTCTATTTATCAACATAATCTCCCTGATTTTCAATATACTTCTCATATCGATCGTGAAGTGAAGAAGTTTTCTGAAGCCACCCTGAAAAAGCACATTCACGACAGCTTTGAGGTCATCGTTGAGGTAAGTTTCTCTTTCGGAATAAGCGACGCTTGGAAAGAACATACAACATACCAGTGCGCCGATGTGAAAACGCGTCTGAATCCAAAGGAGTGAACGCCGATCACCCCCCCCCCCCAAAAAAAATAAAAGACCAAAAAACCCAAACAAAAAACCTCAAAACAAAACCAAAAACAAAACCCCTCCCCTCCCTCTACGATGGCGTTCTTTCAGTTTGGGAAACAGGTGGAAAACACTTGGTGCCAAATCTTGCGTGTTTTGAGGGTGAAGAAACTCTGTGAACCTACATTGTCATATCATACAGCAACCTTTGCAAGTCTAGAGGTGTGAGAAATGGGCATTGTCGTTAAGTAGTAGAACTGCAGCAGTCAGCATTCCTCGTCGCTTTTCTTTGATAGTGAGTGAGTTACAATTTTATATCGCATCGGCAATATTGCAGCCATATCGCGATGAGAACAAGATTATAATTTCCAAATTCCTGTAAACAAAGGACAGTAAACCACCAGCAACCAAAGTTAGACCACCTCACTTGGAATCATGGGGACTTACATTACTTTTGCTTCCTGCATGATTCCCCAGCAGGATTTATGCCATCACTTTGGACACCAGTGGCTGCACGTTATGCTAGCAAATATTATAAAGACACAACATAATGTCTAAAACACTAGTTAATATTATATTCTTTGATTGATAATGGATTTATGTACTATGATTTATGACAATAGTTTTACATTGCTTTAACCCCCCGAGTGCCACCACCATCTATAATCTCAGTTGATGATAATATTATACTAACACATAGCATTTATTCAAAATGTATCCATTATTTCTATTTCCTAAAGTTTGTTTAATTTCATGAAGTTTGTTTATACCCACTTGGGTTTTCCACTTTGTTTGCATTAACTGTCTGATATACACTTTGATGGACGGTTTAAAATCAGTGAGGTATCAGAAGTGGGGAGATCGACCTATCAGGAGCTGCTTTAGCAGCATTAGCCCTGGTGTTACCCACAATACCGACATGACTCGGTAACCAACAAAAGACAGTGTCGAAAGGCCAGAAGAGAGATCATTGTATAATTCTAAAATATCAAGTATTAATGAATGATTTAACGATATATTTTTAAGTGCTTGAAGACAGGAAAGAGAATCAGAGAACATATAATGAACTGCTTATTTTTAGATTGGCGCTGAATGTATTCCAAGGCAATGTGGATAGCCTTGGCTTCGGCAGTGAAAACAGAACTATTATCAGGTATCCTGGAAGATATGATTTTCGATCCAACGACAGTGACACTTGAAACATTGCCACCATCCTTGGCTCCATCTGTGAAGATTGAACGATGAATTGATTTTTGTTCGTAATTGTATATATTCCTGTTGATATATTATTTGATTTGTGTCATATTTTTTAAACTTAGTGAGAGAAAGCTCTACTTCATGCCTGACTAATTGCCAAGTTTGTATGGAGATATGAAGTCTAAATCAATATTAGCAGCTGCAATATGAGGTTTGCACTATTCAAGAATTATTCCGGATAAAAAGTGCCATCCCACGGATATTCGCAGCCGTTGCGGATTTGGATATCCCACTGAGACACATTATGAAACCTGTCTCTATTGTAAGCCATCATTTGCTCCACTGTCTTTTATATACACACGAAGAAACATGTCTCTTTAACAGATTTATTGAACTTTTAGATAACTGCAGTAACTTTACTGATATGGAAAAATACTGTTTATTTTATTCCCCCCTGATGTATCTTCTGTGGCATAGACAGAAGTCTTTGTGTAACATAAATGTTCCTCTTAAAATGTCACCTATAACGATATAAAATATTCTTAATATTGAAGGATATGTATAAAAATTGAAAGATTGTCATTGGTGTAATCGTCTTAAATTTAGATGCTAAATTAAGCAAGTTGATGGAAAAGTATCATTCAGATAATATACACTTTATGTGGTCTAAAAGTTATCAGTAACAACAATCGCTGTTTGTCTTTGTGCTCAATATTTGATAAAACAAGACAACTGATATTTTCATACAACCAAAGTACTGTTGGAGCATCTCACTTATAACTGATGTATTACTCATACATAATGACTGCATTAAACATAATGTAATATTAATATTTTAACTATTTTAATATATTAAAATGGATAATATATGGTATTTTTCACCTAAGTAACAGACTGAGTGTTATATACAACTCAACTTTGCTAAGGATCATCACTTTAACACGTCACAATCGTCGGCATCTGTTGAAATAGCCAAAGGCAATATTGTGTGCAGACATGTGTAATGAACAAAAGTCTGTTGTCATGTGCCACACAATGAAAACAAACAACATGTGACCAATTATCGGTCATAATCGGTCTGGATGGTTGCCAAAAGGAATATTGCAACACTCTTCAGTAAGAGCATACCCGAATTCCTGTAGAGATGACGGAATGGCAGTGCGTCGTGATAGATCCAGATTTAGATCCACATGCTATCGTTCGATAGGGTTGAGGTCTGGTGCCGGGCTGGCAAATGCATGCGGACAATGGTCGCCTGCTCTAAGTCATCAATGATCCTGGCACGATGAGGTCGTTCGTGATCGCCCATGAGGATAACGTCCGGTCCGACTGCGACAGAATAGATCTTACGTACACATACATAATGTTATCCCTGTAACGCACACCTGTCATCGTGGTCCGCTGGGGATCTGTTCTTTGAGGTCTACTGAAATCATGTTTGAGCCCCCGCCATAGCAGTCATGTTCGGCTATGTTGGAATCCTGAAAACTTTCTCCTTGTCTACGCCACACTCGGGCACGACGATATGTGAAGTCTAGACAGTATCTCGATTCCTCAGTGAAAAGTACTGGAGCACTTTCCTGTCCAATTGACGTGATTTTTAGCCTAACTCAATCGTGCCTGCCTGTGAATAGGTTTGGGGGCGCGAATGCATGCCCCCCCGTGACCGGAAACCAGCCTCACGAAGAAGACTGCGCGCTGTCTGATCATGAGTAGAGACGTTACCGCTCTTGGCGTTCGCAGGTCATTTCTGAGTTTGATGGCAGTCACGAAATGATGACTCTTTCTGCAATCAGGAGAAACCTGTCTTCTTGATCCCTAACAAACTTTGAGTAGTATATAGATACGATTGCAGACATGATAAACTATGATTGCAGCATGTGTATACGATGACTAATTGACATGTAGTTCACATGAAATGAGCAATAAATAGCGAAACAAATATACAGGCATAATGTGGAGGATTGACAACGGCTGAATGATTTTCACTTGGTAATGGTAATTACACAAAGTTTGACTATATTTTTAAAAAAAGTCAGGGACAGATGTTTGTTTGCACTCTGTGCCTATGGTTTCTTTTGACAGTAATTTCACGTTAAATTGATTGCTGGGTAAATTATGTTTAGTTTACACTGCGCACCACAATGTATAACATTTCAGAGTAAGGGGTTAGTAGATTCATGACAAGATGGTGCTTGTGCATGCGTCATTAACCGATCATTATTTGTTTCAAACGTGTAGCTTCACATGAACTGTCACCAGTATCTAACCTGTCATGATATGACAACCTGTCGCAATGCATCTTCCCTAGGCAAGAGAGTTAACTGACTTCAAAAGTGTTAACTGGACTTTTATAGTCAGTTAACTCCCTTGCCTCGGGAAGATGGTCGCAATGTGGTTAACTGATGGAATATCATAAACTGTTGCAATTAGTACACAATCGTCATATACAGCAGGTCAAGTGTTGCAGGTCAAATGAATGTGTGTAACAGATCAAAAAGGAAGCACTGGAACTGTAACAACTCAGAAAATATAATATAAGTTAATTTTCGATACGCATTAAGTCATCTACTTATAAAAACGAATGTCTTGGGAATGGTGATGCTGAAGAATAGTTTTGAAATGTTTCAAACACAGAAGTAATTCCCTCATTGGACTTTTCAGTTTTTGATGAAATCGAGCGTACGGGTGCTATTGGTAATTGAGTTGAAGAACTTGATCTAAAAATATCTTTTGGGGTATATTGGGTTTTGAATGCAGTTATACCTCTTAAAATTTGATACATCTTCTTGGTATGTTGACACAATAACTTATTTATTGATACATTGACCTGACACCTTAATTCCACTTTGATGATGTAAGTGGATTGGAATTAGGGTCTAATGCCATTCTTACAACTGGATATTTTCCACCCGAATGGACAAATGGACTAATAAAACCAGTTAAAAGAAAACGTGGCAATGATGGGATAATGATCTAATTGTTAGGTATAACAAACTTCAGAACTTTAAGTAGATCTGAATCTGAGAGTCACGGAGCTTTGCTCCAAGGTGTCATTGAACAAGAATAAGTAATAATGAAAACGTGGTAATAGGTTCACAAGTTTATTACTTGCAGCTAATTATATCCATATACGACAATATAAAAGATCAAACACCCAATTTACACTGACAATGATCACTGATTAATTGATTCAGAGTGAATTCAAAAGCTGATTATCAAAGCAACTGTATGACAGTAATACAATGAGAGTAGCTAAAACAACACTTTGACAAAATATTGACAAGATGCACGGGCAGCAAATTAAGTCGGCTGAGACCTATTAACACCTGAGTTACTTTACTCAGTACTCTAATGAGTGAATAACCTCGACTGGGTTAAATAGCGGGAAATAAACACAGAGGGCCTGCCCCTTTAATAAGTCTCTTAGACGTAAAAAATGTTATACTTGGAATATCTCTTCACGAGACTGCATACCGACAAATGACAACTTTCTCTTTTGAAGAAAACGTACAATTTTGTGGTTACAGTTAACCTTCCCAACATGTCAAAGCAATATTGCAGCAGCTCCAAGTTCGAGGTTCAATCGAGTAAGCTCTTTCTACAAAGATTTCCTAAAGGGCGTCCTATGAGGTTTGCTCAAAAGTTGTTTGTTTAAGGTTAAACATTTTGGGCCCTAGCAAAGCTTTCAAAAAGTTTCATGGTAGGCATATTTTTTACTTGTGCCATATGTTCCCGTGATCCTTTTTAGGTGAACAATTGGCTTTTTCTGAGGGGTGCCACCTTCTTGGCGGGATACGCTCAACTCTCCGCAACCACCTGTCATGGTCTCCTCACTATTGGACAGGAATTCATAAACACATGCTTACGATATAGTTATCATTGGAATGAGCTCTCAATGATTTCTCATGGTTATCAAAATAGGTTTTGTCGCTTTTTATTTACAAGATCTTGTAAACTGGGCAATGCATTTAAGAAATTCAAGATATTTCAAATAATCTTTTTTTTATGTCCAAATCCCCGTTTCGTTGCTTCTTTTGTTCTGATCATGGATTATAAATTCACTTACACACGTTTCTGAGTAATACACCAACACGATTCTCTCAATCTCATGTTAAGATAATATTTACCTTACTGGTTTCTTACGTAACTGGTTTCCATAATTAAATTTGAAGTAAAGAAATTATGTATATGTTCTCTCTCCCGTGGGCGCATTATCTGAATCGTCTGGTTATTGTCAATACAATGGTGTTATTAACAACCATGTGGAAACATAACCTTAAATGGAAATACGACCCGTGAAGATCCGGGATAGAATAGGTCTTCAGCAACCCATGCTTGCCATAAAAGGCGACTATGCTTGTCGTATTAGGTGACCAATGACGTGGACCGTCATATAGCTGGAGTGCGATGTTAAATAACAAACAAACAAATAAATAAACACACAATCTGATGAGTATGTCCTATGGTAAAAGAATACAATGTTATACTATAAAAAGAGGGTGGTGAACCATCATACCACAGTTAAACTACATACAGACAGTCAGACCCTATCAGAAAATTCCAAAGTGTGTATCTATAATAGTAGTTATGTTCACAGTTGCTAACCGAGTTTCGTTATTGTTTACGCTATATTAATTTCTTTTGGAAGTTTAAATCTAAGAAAAGAAACTTCAGCAGCTTCTTTCCGATAAATGCCTGTATCATCCCCACCAATCCTGCACGTAAACCCCTGGTGACATCGAAGCTTCCTCGCCTGCATCATCTTTTGGGGGCTCTTCATGATCAATGACCACGAACACCAGCTCGCTACATCTGCTCAAACCAACCGGAAGGGGCGGTCGGGTAGCCTAGTGGTTAAACCGTTCGCTCGTCACGCCGAAGACCAGGGTTCGAATCCCGACACGGGTACAATGTGTGAAGCCCATTTCTGGTGTCCCCCGCCGTGATATTGCTGGAATATTGCTAAAGCGGCGTAAAACCATACTCACTCACTCAAACCAACCGGACAAGAATGTTCACCTCTAACCAACTCCAATTGTATCGATTTATTATATAACATGTGATGCGACTTTTCTATTATCTTAAACATTAGACAACTCTTTGTGTGAAAACAAAATGCATATTCTCAAATCAGTTAATCAAAGGCGACAAAACACTACCAGCTCAAATTACACATCCTTGACAATGATACATAGACACACGCTGGTCGTACTTATCCAGCCAATCTATTGAATGCTCTCGCCATATCTCATCCTTAGTACAACCATTTCTGTAACTACTGGATCCTGTAATCCTTAATCGATCGCTCATGTATGATGTATACCCATTCTGCACATTATGCTATGCTTTTTTTATATATCAAGATTGTCCTCGAACCAAGAAATGAGAACCAAAGATATTTGATACCATATTACACAGCAGCATGGCTAGATATCTCTGGCTGTAACATCAAATGGGATCTCTTCATTCGTCGACTGGTACTGCTGGAAAATATATCAAACAAACATTGCATTTGAGATGATTCAATGATTTCAAATGTAAGCCAGCAAAGGTAACATAAGAAAAATGAAACAGTTAAATGCATCGACTAATTTATCATTCACTTCCCGCTGTTTTCCAATGTGTCTGCTGAGACCATACCTAAGATAGAGTTTATTTGTCAATCTACTTTTATTATATACCTGTTCTGGTCGTGTATTGCAGCGAAGCACCTTCAGAACCTTCTCAGGCAGACATTGGCATAGTTCGTCTAGAATTGATCGGCTGTACTGGGAAGGTGCTGGCGTTTCGGGAGAAAACCGCCCTGGAAAAGAATACATAGGCACTGTTATCAGATTTGTCAGGATGGCATTGCGTGCTTCATCTTCACGTTAAATAGTTCTATCAGCTTTTCCAAGGTTAATCATCCGATAAATACTTGTGCAAGGCAAAGCACATGTTGTCAACTGAGGTTGCACTTTCATTTGAATACGGTGTATGGGGCCCATGAATATATATAAGGAAAACACTGTGTGAGTCATACATAGCAATTTTGAATCAAATGTCAATGTTCTAAAATGGTACATTTCACATGTACAACAGCTAGCTGCGTTAAAATGCGGAAACTGTCTTGGTTTTTACTCGTAATTTGAGCTTTAGTCACAAAGCGTAACTTTTCTTATTTCGTTTTGTTATAGCTTTTCAGTGAAATTATTGACGAAAACTGCCATTTGACACTCGCTATCAAGTTTCAAGCAAGCAGTGTCAATCTACCGCATTTCTTCTGTAGAATAAAACTAGTCACGACAAGAGTACAGGATAATGTTTTGTATGCCCAAAGATTATTATCTACATCCACAAATTCCCTTAACAGTTAAATGTAAGATTCCGATTATTCGTATTTATAAATCACTTTCAAATAGTGATGAAAACAACGGAGGCGGTCCTGAACTAATGAAGTTGAAGACATAATTGATGTCGATTCTTTTCTCCAATTGCAAACACTCGGGTAAATCGTTTGATGTTTTCAGGATCAAAATGGTATTAATTCTACTTTACTCAAATGCTACATCACGAAGTTCTTCCATTCTGGTATTAAGGTTATGATCACTGGGACATGTATTTACTGCTACCTAGCAATATACATGTATCTCTATTTGCAGGGATTTTTATTGAGCATTGGAACCCAGAACAAAAGAGGAATGCTATGGCTTTGGGTTTTAGAGTCGGGCGAAGGTGACAGATACGTGGCCTTGTCAGATTTCACTCTCAGTTAAAAAAGTGACACTGTATGTGGCAAGTTCTTTGATAAGACAATTAACCTTGTGATGTTTACATATGATGGTTATGTTAGGTGATGCCTTATCAGAGTGGACAACTACAAACTCTTCACGTAGCTATAGCGGAGCCAGAGTATTGATGAGAGTTTCCTGGGACAGAACATATTTATTCTAAATCTGTTTCGTCTTTTTCAGTTTGTGCATTCTCCCACACAATTACCTCATCAGGGTCTGACGTAACTCACTTTGACATTATTTAATGTTCATCCCCTCTATCGCTGGGGATATTTGGACATATGGCTGAAAATCATCCATTGTGATTCCAACAGCAGGCTTTCAAAATATTTGGCCCATATTTGAATAACTGACGAAGATAGTTATTGTCATGGACATACATACATGTAGGAGACACCTGTGATTATATATGATCAACCTGTTAGTTGCATTACGAGTCTTGACAGCCACAAGTAGAGGAATTTACATGGTGAGCTGCCAAATCCTCGTTCTGTAACACGTTCCCATTATTGGCAATTTGGACGAAACGGTGTTCAAAAGAAAAATGACTCTTCGATTTCAACTGAAACTATTGGGACTTTACCTTTGTGTTTACATGTTATGAACACATACATGTATATACAATATTTGTGTGGAGTCATAAATAAAACACCCCACGTGGCCCATGGAACGAAACTAATTTCTTCTGTCCAAATTGCACATTGATCAATAGTTCCCGCCAGTATGTAGGAGAGGTCACTTTCCTTTATGACATCCCGATTGGAAAGTGATTGAAGACATAGCGTTGCTTTGCTGTGATGCCACATAGCTATATAGAGTGAAGGTGATTCCTAAACACATGATTATAATATAGTCGGACTTATACAATAAACTCTAGGATAATCATAAAATTTGTTCTGATTGTAAAGGTTTTTTGCTGATTTAATTTACACTCCTTTGGTCAAAGAGTTCACTGTAGTTGGCATTAGTTATTTGTAAGAAATTGATGTTTTTAGTAAATGTAATCTCTATTGTTACATTTCAAGATTAACACCTCGTGTAAATGCTTTTGTATATCTGTGATCAAGAATGCAATTAGGCAACCAAACATACATACGTGAAAGGAGACTCACAACGATCCCAACGAAGACCACGACAATCGTACCCGTGGCAGAGTAGTAGATGTATGACAAATCATAAATTGATAAGTAGCCCCTGAAAATAGACAAATTCAAATTTTTGACAGTCAGATACTGAAAGAGGGCCCCATGTTTATCGGGATTCAATGCTATCGATTGCATTTGTCAATCATTATCGAATTGAAACTGAGCCTGTGGTATGTCCAATATTCAATATTGAGGCGTTTTACTTCCAAAACCTAACAACCCATACTTTGGTGCTACTTCTTCATCAGCATGGCCATCATCGTTGGTGAAGTTGTGAGCAGTGTGCAGTCCTGTTTTATTGGCACCAATTATGTCCCAGGTGCATCCGTTGACAAACGTACTTGATAGTTGCGTTGACACACCGTTAAGGTACGCACCGATACCAATCCATAACATAAATATTAAAGAAGTGAAATAACCAGCAGTAGCACCCTGAAACAGAGAAAATGATGTCGTTTTTTTCGCGTAGACATTCATGCAAAATGCCAGATCATTAAATTTCCGTATCTCACTTGTAATATCCTTTATACCTTTCAAGTTGATAATGTGTTATTATTATGAAGACCTCAGCAAATGAACCATTACATAAACCATTTAAATGATGTTGCATTAGGTTTTTTTTCTGAAAATGACCGCCAACGGTATCTCTTCACTTTATTTTTGAATCCGTGCAACGCTTGGAAAACTCAGAAAAATGTAGTACATGCAAAGGGACGCGATTTGAAAGACTGTGAAATTCCCCCGAAGACCAGGGTCACAGTGAATAGGTTATTTGTGCAGATTTCCCGCATGTTGTATGATTTAGATAATAATACCTGACAACCGATGACAATTTAATGATATCACATGCAGTCGGTGTGACTTACTTTCAATGAAAAGGACAAGGGACATAATACTAGTATTTGGTTTATGTGTGGAGTAGCCCCGTGGAATGTCAGGGTAATATTTGTACTCATCTCAAGGTTTTGCAGAAAGGTATTTAATGATAGCGAGTTCAATTGTCATGCAACTGCTAATAGTGTTAGGTTGATCGTGGCAGTATGTTATCCGTTGAACAGTTTGGATCCATTTAAAAGTTCATGGAAATGTCAATGCATGTTTATCACTGACATAGATGTCATAAAGCTGCGACGAAATGGTTGCTTCATCTAACACTGGCAGTGTTCCACATCCAGTTTCGTGCTGACAATTCAATATCAAGATCAAGCCATATAACGCCTTCAATCTGGCCAGTGTCCAGCGTGTTTCTAATGCAGTGTTCACATTACAACCATCTACCGATTCCAAGAATGATTTAACTACACTGATGACCTATCGTGCAGCGTCAGTCCGAGAGTGGCCACGCCACTAAAAGACACGTCCATCGCCCTGATCGATTTCTTCCAGCCAACGCGACATACCTAAGAGTTGATAACCGATTATTAACAGTTTTGTTGCCGTCAAGTTCCCAAGTACCGAAAGGGGTAACATTGCACCCTAACTTGTGTCATCCACATCAGATAATGTTATGTTCTCGGATGAACGTTGTTTCTGCATTTCATATGCTGACGGCATAAGTTTGAATATGGTTTAAACATAAGCCGTGCGCCACGCTGACGAATATGTGATGGAAAGAGATGGACTGGATGGTGGTAGTATGGGAAGTTAACTGTCAAAGGTCGGAATCAAAGTCTTGGTCCAGACATGATCTATAATATTGATCCAGGACGTGGACATGGAGCAATGTCACAACCCAATATCCACATTTCCCATGTTTGTTTGCCATTGATATAATCCACTTGTATCATTTCTTGAAAATACATAATTTGACATTTTGTTTCTTGCGTTTCTTTTGTGGTTCCAAATAACCATATACCTTAATATATTGAAATGTATACAGGGGAAGGCCTCACGCATTTGTAACTTGTACCTAATCCATTTGCAATAAAATAAATGGATACCTGTCACTCAGATTGAAGGTCAAACTACTCTCAAGGCCATGCCCTAAAATGAATTATGTTAGAGATAAATTAAGAAGTGTTCATTATCGTAGGATGAAATTTGATACATTTCATTTCCTAGGTGGGACATCGAATTGGTGCTATTTTTTAAAGACCTTCATTGAAGTTCAAGGTCACGGGAATGGTTTTCCTTATAGGAGTTCTGCTTCCGTGTTCGCACCCCTTTTTGCAATTAGAAATAATCAAGCATTTGATACAAGCATACAACTTTCGTCTTAATATTATTGCACGCATCAATAATGTTTTGCGACGTTGATCTTCAACTGGTCGTCATTGTGTCGCAATTTGCATATGGTATATAAGGAACATCACAATGTCTGTCGTTACAATTACAAAGTATCATTAGAATGTCTAAAAGAGACGATGGTACTTACAACAGAATTTGCGCAAGGGCAAAACATCCCAAGGACAAAAAGGCCAAACAGTGGACCGTCCAAAATGCTAGTTAATGCGTAACAAATCTGGAGAAAGAATGTGTTTACACTTTAATTAGATTTAGAATTAAGAAAGATTCTGTCAAATTGTTCGTACAAATCCATTGAATAATCTTTACGTTGACAACATATCGATTAAGAAATAAAACATAATTTGTGAAATGAGTGAGTGAGAGTGAGTTAACTCTTTTACGTCGTTTTTAGCAATATTCCAGTAATATCACAGCGGGTGACACCAGAAATGGGCTTCGAACCCGGGTCTTTGGCGTGACGAGCGAACGCTGCAACCACTAGGCTACCCGACCGCCCCTAATTAGTAAAACACTTGAACATTATACAATATAATGTATCTGTTGTTGTTTTGTGTCAATAACAATGTTTTCGTACCTGAAAAATATTTCCCAAAGATGAAACAACGTACGCCAAAGCCAGACTCAATGCTCCAAAAAGGATCACTGTAATAAATTGTTAATCTTGTAAGACAGTTGTGCGTCCATAGGTTATGTGAGATGCATGTGTTGCACGCTGCTTTGAACAGTAGTTAAGTGAAAATAGACGTATTCACCATGGTATGATGTAATGCTCACACACCAAGATTCATACTCATGAAACCATGCATCAAGACCCGCAATCAATGAATTCAGCAATTATGAACGTTACACAATGGCATCTTAGAACGCTGGGACACGACGTGAAAGTACGTCGCTACGTGTGTGTATTTAACATTATTCTCACCAAGACATTTCGAGACGACAGTGGCCCTGAAGTCGGTGATGGTGATGCAGCAGTAGGGCCGGATGTAGTCCTCCAAAATGACTGCAGCAACGGCGTTTAGACCCGACGACAGCGTGCTGTAAAACATGGGAAGCCATGTCACGTTCGAATGAAAACTGCTTCAAAAGATATCAGCTACAGGGCATTAAAAATAAGGTAGCGCATGAATGGAAAACAATCCATTTAGTCGCCTCTGTTAAACGGCACCTACATATATTTTCCTACCCACAATCCTAAAGGGGTCAGCCAGGGGCCGTGCCTTAATTTGTTATAGGTTTGAGAAAATTACATAGGGACATGGGGATGAGTAATCGTCGGAAAAAGACGTAACAAAATGTTCAACACAGATTTTATCTGTGTCTCCCATATGTATACGATATAAATAGTTCCGTTGTGAAACTATTTTTCAAAACATTCCTAACTGAAACTTATTACAGTAAACAATATTACGTTATTCGGCAACAATCATGAGAGGGAGAGCCCTATCTTAGACTAGTTTACCTGCCCTAGTGCGCTTGCGCTAATCGCTTGCAGCCGCGAGGATGCGAAGGGCAGGGTACCAGTCTTACTCTTTCCAACCTAAACCCCATACAGCATTTCGCTGCGGTGAAACGTTGACCCATTTCCGTAAAGCGGGTCTGTCTGTCGAGAGGACGGGGACAGTTGTATAGCATATCGCCATGAGGGAAACGTTGATCCAGTTTCCGTGGAAAGCGAGATATTAGCACTTTGGACTTGATGAATAATTAATGTTGACGCGACAGGATTAAATATATAGTAATCATTAGGGAGGTAACTCTCATAGAAAAGTGTGGTTCATGGTTAAAAAAAACAAACGCGCTCACCACGTTGATGGTTTCAATTTTAGCACTTTCTGCATGAAAAGATTAATTATAAAAAAAATATTAATAACTTTACCACTGTATTTATATCAGTGCCAACAGTACCACTATGATTGTATCAACGCAATACCCCATGTTTCTTGACAACAATAACAAATATTACATTTATATATTTAATCGAACGTTCTCTTTATTTTGATTATTTGTTTATTTTCTCGAAATTGCGAGTTTTTTTCTTGTTATTTCGATTATATTTCCGTAATTTCAATAATTTCTCGTTAGTTCTCGTTTATTCACATAATGTCGACTATTTTCTCATAATTTTTTAGTTTAAACTCGAAATTTTCTGCGTTACGTCGATTATTTATCCGGTACAAAAAATAAAATGATCAAAGTCAAGAGAAAGAACTCGAAATTCGTGAAAATAACTCAAATAAAAATAAATTGTGCTACCAAAGTGGCAGCATCCTTTCGTCCTTGACAAACATGTCTTAGATGAGCATGAAAACTTTCATTCCTGTAACTTCAGTAGATTCTACGAACACGTTTGACCCCATATCATGCATTATACACTAAGTTGAAAACCATTGAGCAAGGGCCATAATATAACTCTGTAAAAGAATTCAGACACCACTTTTTTAAAAACTCAATTGAGATCGTGACCAGTAACATCAGTGATTTAAATTTCATATCTCTAACTTAAATAGAGTTTCATCAAATTTGTCCCCATTGAGAATCGGGCAGACGAACATCGTAAAATGGGCCTCCCTTCTCCTCTCAGTAGTATGCAATCAACACTAATTCACTCAAAACAGTGAGAAAGTTTTATCTTCTGTGTGGCTCAATTTTCGCAGAAAAGGAGTTAGTGGAAATTTCTCATACACTACCTTAAGCTCCCGCTGAAAATGCATGCTAGAAAAATGCCTGGTAGAGCAGGGGTGGTTGCGAATATGTCCATTGCAAACAGTGGAAGTAACTGAAATGAAAATGTTAACACACTTGCAAGAAATCTGAACAATAGGTGAGTTCAAATGCTAATTTAGTTAAGTATGGGCCGCGAAATATTGCGTTTCGGGTCCAAGATTATTTATACTTAGTGTGTCAAAATAGTCATAATGATTAAAAGATGCGACATTCTATCTCGCCGCCGCTTTTACCAAAGTGTTCGCGGTTATTGTCTACGGTAGAATCAGGAAATAAACGTTCTGTGATTTCGAACGTAAATTCAAAGACACAATGACAAAATACATGTGAACTCTTTTGTAAAAACGGAAGAGACCACCAGGAATGTGGCGTCGGGGGAGCCTAATGTTTACAGAAGGCGAATTCAGGTATCAGTGAATCAGTATTTCTTTTATATACCAAAACTGTATCTTTCACCGTTATAATTGTACCAGAAGACATGCGAGCATTTCGCAAACTGTCATCTCCAGAAAAAATGAGGCGACTATATCTTTAGTTATGTCACTATTCAATATCCCAAGTCCATATTTTACGAAGCATCGCTGGTCGATATCAATAGGTCCAAACTAAATGTCCTATCTTCAAAAACTTAATCCGTGATATGTACGTTCAGAGTTAATATGTATATACAGTTGCGTCGGCGTTTTCTGTTCTCTCCTCTACAGCTGTGGGACATTTTGTCTTTAACTGAGCCGTGTACATACGGAGGAACACTTATACACCAGAACCACCAGTCATAGCCACCATCTACAAGTAACATCAATAATTTGTACCTGTTTTATTGAAATGTATTACAATAATTACAAACGACAACAAATATGTGTCTGGTATTAAAACTGAAATGTCTTCATTAACAGAACCATCAACGTATAAACCGACCATCATCTACCAAAATAGTTTCAACCTGTTGCATAGCTCACCTGATCAGAACTAGATATGAGGTCATTGAACTTTAATGGGTCACAGTCCTTGTAGAATGCGTGTATGAGCACCCCTATCAGTATGCACAAAGTCACAATGACTACAAGGCCTATAGAACTCAACCACAGCGCTCTGTAATAAACAGAAAACCTGAATATGTTAAAAACATGACATTTATGGTCTCTCCCGGTTCTAAATAATGTTATCTTGACAAATAAATATACCCACTTTAACACGAAGATGAATACATTGCACAGGAATTACAAGTATTTTAATCAAAATTATTGTCCAAATGCCTGATTTTTCCTTATATAACATATTCAAGGTGACAAATTTCTTTCAAAGCTTGAACATCGATCTCTTCGAGACGATTGATATAATTCGGACATCTATGTACATGTGTATACAACTCATTTTGTGAAATACTGTTGATTCGATAATCCCGCCTTTAATCTGGAAATGTTACCATCCAAGAAAACGGAAAATGAAGAACACACCAGGACCGATTTCACTCTGTCTCTAAATTATCTGATCGATATTCGAAATAAGAACATCGATCTGACCGAATATCGCGTTTACATCAAAAGAGACCTAACTCGTGTTCTACACGTGGTGGCGGCGTCAGGGTCGAGCCAAGGGAAGTACATTTGGAATGGCAAGCATGAAACAAGGATTTCATATAGGCTAGTTGAAGATGGGTTGATTCTTGGGTGGACGTTTTATATTTACAAATGCAACAGTCCTATGAAAGGATATCCTGGAGTGTGATACTTACGTTTTCGCCTTTCTGAGGGTAGGACAGGACATGAGTCTCTGAATCTGCACTTGGTTAACCCCCAGATAGGACATCCACGTGATTCCTCCACCCACAACCAAAGACCACACCGAATGCCGCACCCCCGGGCTGGGGTTGAAACTAAATCGGAGGCATAATATTGATCTTTTACAAAGTTACTGTGTCTGTTACAAAAGAAGAAAGTTTACCATGTTCAAGATATTCAAGAATCAATTTTCTCTGTGTTTACACAATCTATTACATCAATCCAAGAACATGTCATTAACAAGTCTCTGGAGTTGAAACTTTGTTTTGTATTACACACACAATAGCCACCACGAGAAGGTGATGTTAAAATGTATGACTCTATTTCTTTTTACAGGTGAGACTCAGAGGACTATTCAATTAAGTTAGTATTCTTTGTGCAATTCAAATATGAAACACATGCTAAACTAATGATCAAAAGTATACATCGAGTTGGACTGCTAATAATTATTCAATCATTTATTTTTACAACAAGCCAGAAGACCACTTCATTGCACTTGGGATGAATTAACAAAAAGCTTTCTAACTCATTAGGTGTCAGAACTGTCACAGTTAACAAAACAAAACATATGTTTGAAAGTTGGATAACAAAGCACGACGCATTATCGATGGCATATGCCTCCTGATGACGTCATTGAGTATGCTGGCCCAGTCCTCCAATGTCGCACGGTTCAGCTGATTTTAGACCGAATTCCTTCAGCACGTAATCGTCTTGACACCTTGCCTGTTTAAGCGTTTACTCAGATGTTTTGGTTTTGTTTGGTTGTTGTTTTACGCTGCACTCAGCAATATTCCAACTGTATGACGCTGGTGTGTTAATTATCCAGTCGGGACCAGACAATCAAGTGATTGACGCCATGAGTATCGATCCACGCAATTGGGATACGATGACATGCATCAACCAAGTCAGCGAGCCTGACTGCCCGATCCCGTTAGTCGCCTTTTACGACAAGCATAGTCGCCTTTTACGGCAAGCATGGGTTGCTGAGGACATAATTCTAACCCAGATCTTCACGGGTTACTAAGATGTAATGTGCGTAAATGGCAAACCTCCTGCGGGGTGATCACACGCGACCTTCTGCTTCCTGGGTTGTCTCTGGTGTGCCAGGTCTGGTGGTATATATACTGAACCAAATTGAAAACTTCACAATCCTAAATTTTAACAATTTGTCATTGTGGGCCCTTATTGTGTGTTTAAACAGTAATTGCCACGTATTGTCTTCAGATAACACTCGTTTTTGTGCAGGTGAATCGATCAAAATCATGTGCACAGCATTATAGTGCCAAAAGTGTTTTTTCACGTGCAACTGGTCTCGTGGCCATAATACCGCACGTGTTTTCAGCCATACTTGTTAACAGTCATTAACAAAAAAAGAAAAACACAAGAAAACAAAAGTCTTTACGGCCATTCAAATGTGCAACGTGAACGTGCCATCTGCATGTTGCAGACGGGAACGTCCGTAGCTGGTCGCAAGGACGATTGGTTGTAGTCGACGGACTGTTTATGATTTACAGACGCGTCTACAGCAAACGGGTACCACCGCTGATCGCCCTCGACCAGTCGACCACGTGTGACGTCACATGTAGAGGATCGTCAGATTGTCTTACGTCACCTCCGTAACCGATTTTTGACTGCTACATCAACCAGAAATGAACTGTTTAGGGGTAGACTGAGTGCGCAAACTGTCGAAACCGTCTGAGAACTGCTCACCTTCAAGCACGACGGCCATACTGCGGGCCGATTCTGACTCAATTACACAGACGTCAACGTCAGTTGTGGGCACAGCGACACTTACTATGGACTCCTCAGAGGAATTGGAATCAAGTCTTCGATTTGCTGATGGTAGGGCGAGGGTGTGGAGGCGTGGTCATGAACGTTACGCCCAGCGTTGTGTACAGGAAGTTGACAGATTTCGAGGCGGAAGTGTCATGGTGTGGGGTGCTTTCTGTGGCAATGCACGTTCCAAGCTACTTGTCATCCGTGTCAACCTCAACGCTGCTGCTTACGGCGACCAGGTACTGGCACCAGAACTTCTACCTTTTATGGCAGCACATGGACCCGGTTTGATCTTCCAACACGACAATGCCAGACCCCACACAGCAATTTTGACAAGGAATTTCCTTCAGAATGCGGGAGTCAACGTCATTGACTGGCCGTCAAGGTCTCCCGACCTTAATCCCATCGAACACGTCTTGGATGCTCTTGGCAGAAGTCTGCGCACTCTCCAGAACCAACCACAGAATTTGCAAGATCTTGGCACCATTTTGCAGCAACAATGGCGTCGTCTTCCCAATCATGTGTTCACAAGCATCACAAGGTCCATGCGGAGGCGTTGTGTGGCAGTTGTCAACGCACATGGTGGCCATACAAGCTACTGAACTTGTGTGCCATCAGATTCTCGTGCTTGGGACTTATGATTTAAACTGTTGATGTTATTACCGAATACCGTAGGTGCTTGGAACAAATTATGGTTACCATCGTTAATTAAGATCCTTCTTTGGACATTAATGATTAAACATTATCTTCTCTGATACATTTGTCCGTTGTTTATCATATATGGGATTACTTTTAAAAATGTGAAGTTTTTAATTTGACTCAGTATAGTTGAAGTAGTCTGACAATGTAGTCGGCTCCACCCAAGCAGTCTTGTGTAACCCCATAAGCTCCATTCTAAGACCCAGCCCCCTCTGTGCTACTGATAACCTTTGCATGTTTCATGCTTTTGTTAAGGTGGGATGTTTTGGGATCCAACCACTTGGTTTTTATACCTTTTTGCGTTTTCATCTTGTGCTATCATCAAAAAGCTCTCTCTTACAAAAATCACGAAAAATAATAATTCTCACAATGCAGGGGCTTCTGACAGACAGATGATGGGGTTGGTCTTGTTTGGGAAATCGTTTTCAACCCGGCTTCTGTTTCCTTAGCCAAGGTAGTAAATAACACTCATTGACAATCCTACGGGGTATACTTTCTGTTGATCGATAGTATATTATGAAAATCGTTGGTGTCAGATGAAAAATAAATGAAGTGTTATCTTATATGTAAGTGTATTTGTGTCGGACAAAGAACGAACAGTCATTTGAACTTGTCATTTAATGGTACAATTAGCACCAATGTGTATTTAAAATCGTTCGACACAATTTGACACTGGGGAACTTTACATCGCTCATCCCAAAAGGGTGTATTGTTGTGAGACAGTTCATAACCATTCAGCCCAGTTTAGATCACTATTACAGTAGCAAATATACTAGTATGTGGTGGATTAAATCCAGAACAGCATCAACATCTTTATTTCCCATTTCTCTTCTAGACGTATATAAGTCGGAGTCTTTTTTACTTATCAACCTATCCATACATTCCAAACAAACTACTTTTACAGGTCAATGTTGCTTTTAATACAGCCCCAATGTTAAGCAACATATTATTATCGAGTTGTGTGAGGAGTCAAACGTGTGATCGATCACGAACGCCCAGTAACCACAAAAGTAACATTCTGTATTAGCTGTTTCCTCTTTCCTAGGAAGAGAACTTACATATAAAACCATTCCCATAATAATCTATTCCGAAATTACAAAAGCGTAAGGAAAACCTTTGAATATATGAAAATCAAAATGATATTAATTCCACTTTTCTCAAATACATAGTGTGAACGTAAGGGAAGCCCCTCTGTGGTTGGAAAAACGATTCTGGTAACCTTTGAGGCAGGGATTTGGTGGTACATTAGCTGGATGGTAGGGTTATATGGACATGTCTTCATGTAACAATTGGTACCGGCATGGTCTTAAATCAGCAATTATTTCTGATTCAAGACTTTTTTTTATTGTTCAGGGGGTTATGTCTATATACGAACCATTTGTAAATTGTCCTCATGCACTCGGAATTACTTCCTGCACACTTCAGTAAATTCGGTGAGATACATGTATTTCATGTGAAATTACAAATCTAACCTTCTCACTTTTACGCGTGTTTTCTCCTAAATTTAGGCTACTACTTTCGTTGTACTTTAGTTTTTTTTAATGAATCGTCAGACATAATATCATCTTTAAAAAAACATGATGTTGCATAGAGACCTCAGAACGAACAGAGCAACCTACTGACAACGGTCATGATCGGCGTGTTTGTACATGTATGTTGTGTTGGCTATATATTGGTGGTTTGAATACTAATTTGGACATATTATGATAGTATGTTAATTTTTGACATCTCTGTGGTAACATGTTGACATATGGGCACATCTGTGTAAGCATGTTGCAATATGGACACATCTGTGCCAGTATGTTGATGTATGGACACATCTGTGCCAGTATGTTAATGTATGGACAAAACTGTGGTAGTATGTTGATGTATGGACAAAACTGTGGTAGTAAGTTGATGTATGGACACATCTGTGCCAGTATGTTGATGTATGGACAAAACTGTGGTAGTAAGTTGATGTATGGACAAAACTGTGGTAGTAAGTTGATGTATGGACAAAACTGTGCCAGTATGTTGATGTATGGACAAAACTGTGGTAGTATGTTGATGTATGGACAAAACTGTGGTAGTAAGTTGATGTATGGACACATCTGTGGTAGTAAGTTCATGTATGGACAAAATCTTGGTAGTATGTTGATGTATGGACAAAACTGCGGTAGTATGTTGATGTATGGACAAAACTGTGGAAGTATGTTGAGGTATAGTACACATCTGTGGTAGTAAGTTGATGTATGGACAAAACTGTGGTAGTAAGTAGATGTATGGACAAAACTGTGGTAGTAAGTTGATGTATGGACACATCTGTGCCAGTATGTTGATGTATGGACAAAACTGTGGTAGTAAGTAGATGTATGGACAAAACTGTGGTAGTAAGTTGATGTATGGACACATCTGTGCCAGTATGTTGATGTATGGACAAAACTGTGGTAGTAAGTTGATGTATGGACAAAACTGTGGTAGTAAGTTGATGTATGGACACATCTGTGCCAGTATGTTGATGTATGGACAAAACTGTGGAAGTATGTTGATGTATGGACAAAACAGTGGTACTAAGTTGATGTATGGACAAAACTGTGGTAGTATGTTGATGTATGGACAAAACTGTGGTAGTATGTTGATATATGGACAAAACTGTGCTTGTTAGTTGACGAATGACACATCTGTGGTAATATGTTGATGTATAGACAAAACTGTGGTAGTATGTTGATGTATGGACAAAACTGTGATAGTATGTTGATGCATGGACACATCTGTGGTAGTATGTTGATGTATCGCCAAATCTATGGTAGTGTGTTGATGCATGGACACATCTGTGGTAGTATGTTGATGTATGGACACATCTGTGGTAGTATGTTAATGTATGGCCAAATCTATGGTAGTGTGTTGATGCATGGACACATCTGTGGTAGTATGTTGATGTATGGACACATCTGTGGTAGTAAGTTGATGCAGGGACAAAACTGTGGTAGTAAATTTATGTATGGACAAAACTGTGGTAGTAAGTTGATGTGTGGTCAAAGGGATGGTAATACGTTGACAACGGTGGAATTCTTTTGTGGAAGTTGCTCCCTCTATCTAGAATTCTACACACTCAAAGAATCGTAGGCGGGTCCTCTCCCTTGCAGTTTCCCAGGCCTTAGAGAATCCTCCCACTACCAGGGATCCCTGAACCAGCAGAGAGATGAGCCCAAGAACCATGATGATTGTCTGTAGACTGTCCGTCCATAACACTGTCTTCATCCCTCCCTATAAACACATGCAAATGTATATATACTTATGGGAATAGCACCGATGTGTTGACCCGACGTCGCAGTATATAATGTTTTCACTGTTTCCGAATATTTACTGTGGGAACGCGGGGGTAGTTTCAAACACATGCTTCACTTTTTAATCGTTCCTTGTCTTTCCACCAGACAATTCGAGTTAAATGAGCTTATTTATTACGAAGCATTAGGTGAGAATGCGATATATCAAAACATCAAGGATGGATATTGGGTTCAAGATGAATTCATATGTAGCATTTTAGAATATATACCATGAAAAAAACAAAAACCTGACGTGTGACATTGTAAGTGTATATATACGTAGAAATCCTAATGTACAAATAATATGTTATTCAAAACGGTAAGTAACGGCTGTTGTCTGATGTCCACATCCTTCATGATATTGTTCTTGCTTGGCGTAAAACATGAGTAAATGAGTTACAAAGTACCAGGTTGCTCACTTTCAGGAAATAGTTGTGATGGGGCTTCTTAAACTATTGATGCATGTAATGCTATTACTTTTCTAGTTACTCAAATTTTTAATAGGTTTATCGTGTCCTCCTGCGCACCCATTCTGACCTCGATAAATTTAAATATAACCCTACCAGAGCTGTGTAGAAGGTCACTAATATTCCAACAGAAGAGATTGACAGCCGTAAGTCCAGACCAGTTACTGAAACAAAACTTCATTTATGTTGCCTGCTAATGGTATATCTGACGCGTCGTTAAGTACTGTCACAATGCCAGGTACATGGTAAATGTAAGAAAGAACACGTACATGTATTACATGGGGCCCCTCATAAAGTATTAATTTGGAAGAATTATCTCTAAAATAAAGCAGATCATATGGTTAAGAAGGGGTGTACATTGGTTCGCCTGTTAATACCTTTGAACGTATATTATGATTGTCGTATTGTTTTGTTTATATGTTCCAGTACAACTATTAAAGTGGCATCCTTTACCGTTTAGGTGTCAGTACATATCATAGACAGACAAGTCTTTGAATGGCATTTAGACGTGATACACATAAGGGAGATAATGTATGGATGTCAACTTCTTTATTATGAGGAAACACAACATTTCGGAGTTTATGCTTACTCCTTCATCAGGTTCATGAATGCTATGAGGCAGAGATATATATATATGTAAATTCCACATCATAATTGAAACTATACTCAGGAAATAAAGGTGACATTGCCAGAGAAAATTTAGAGCACAATTGAAATTAAAAACAATTGAAACATGACACCACTATGATCTTCTCTCTTCAAAATCAGTGAAGAAAGTTATGGAAAATTAGAACTTATCAGTCCTCTTATACACACATTTCTAAAGACCTACTGCTTGCTGCGATAATATCTCAATATTTACCTTATCAAACAAGTTAAGTTTTCAGAGCACAGCGTTCGCTTTCACATCTGATTTATTTCGTTTGACTTCATCTGGACCATTTGTAGATGTGACAAAAACAATTAGTCATTTGATTCTCACATGTATGAAGAATTCAGGGATGTGTGTATCGCGACTCATACATGTGATGCAACAGGCGTCACATAACCGGCAGACTCAACCGTGAGTTTGTAGGCGCTATCCAATGTTGCGCTAAAGTTTTCTTTGGCTTTCGAGTTTGCTTTATTTCTAAACATAAGTTTCAGAATAACCAAGGGTGATTTGAAAATAACAGTTATCCGATATTAGAAATGCATTATTTCAGTAATTATCCGAGTGAATAACCTATATGGAGATTTCCCCTGTGACGTCACAATTTGATCGTCAAATAACGGTAAAACGTTACTATGCTGTGACACCACAGTGGAACGTTTCTGCCTTGCATAAATCACATTATGTCGTGGCATTGATGGAATGACATGAATAAAAACATGTTTTACAAGTTAATAAGAAAAAGTGTCAATGCATTAGAATAATCAGTTAAATTATCCGTGGAAACAGATTTCCATTGGCCTAAAGGGCAAAATAACTGTGAGAATTTATTGTCTTGCATTGACAATTGATTTTACACTTAAGCCTTAAGCTAAATTTATGCCAATCGACAAAAGGGTAGATAAGGAAATCAATATCTCCGAGGATTTGCTGCTTGATCTTACACAATCTCCAAGCCAGTTTAGAATAATGAGTAGTATATTACCTGAATAAAGCGCCAGTGATGGGGCAAAAAGTACAAAGGCCATGTACATCAGCTGAAACGAAACAAACTTTAGTACATAGCAACCCATTAACTGAATGATAAGCTGTTCAACGATTAGCCAAATAGCCTTTAAACAGGTATATATAATTATGTTTAAGGTTTTTCTCTCCATCGGAGTATGATATATGTACGGTGGCAAAATGTATGATACAAGTCTCAGCCCCCTTGAAACCGCCGATTATGTTTCTAGGTTTGGGATTTCCTACCACATTGAAAAGCCGGGTTAGAATTGTTTTTCAGCAACTGATGCGTGTAAGAGGCCACTAAACAAATCGGGTGGTCAGGCTCGCTGACTTGGTTGTTGATGCATTTCGTCGCATCCCAAATGCGTAAATAAATGATTATGATGTCAATCACTGGCTTGCTGGACCAAACTCGATTATTTTCAGACAGCCGTCATACAGCTGTATTATTGCTGGATGCAGCGATAAACAATAAACAAACAAAGATAGTATGATTAAACCTATTCACAAGGCTGCCTGAAGATTCTGGGGTAGAATAGGTCTTCAGCAACCCATGCTTGCCGTAAAAGGTACACTATGCTCGTCGTAAAAGGCGACTAACGGGATCGGGTGGTCAGGCTCGCTGACTTGGTTGATGCATGTCATCGATCCCAATTGCGTGGATCGATGCTCATGATATTAAGCACTGGATTGTCTGGTCCAGACTCGATTATTTACAGACCGCCGTCATATAGCTGGAATATTGCTGAGTGCGGCGTTAAACAACAAACCAACCAACCACATGGCTGCCTAAAAAGAGTGATGACTTTAATAGTCAACGGGTGACATCGATGGGGCAGGACGCGCTCACTTTTTCGCGAACACCTGCCGTCATCACTATTTGATAGTAATTCATAAACAGATGCTTATAATATAGTCAAACTATTGACGCTTTTATTTGTAGGTATTTCTTACGATTATGGAAAAGGTTTATTCACTTCCATTAGGGTCTATGCATTTTTTGTGATTGTACACATCTGATTTTAATCATAGTCTTAGTACAACCGAGACGGACGAAAATCACGGACGAGAGTCCATAACAGTTCTTAAATTGTCTTTGGCGTATTTCAGCTAACATAATGCTACTTCATACATGTGCATATACAATTAAATGTTTTACCACTTGAATAATCCAGTTAAGAGATGCCAGTATCCGAACTCGCTTCCCAAATCTCAGTTCGAGGTACTGTAATTGAAAATAGACACAGCATAACGAAAGACAACACTGTTTGAACATAAAAAAACATAACTTTTATTGTTGTCGTCGCATCGGCATTATTGCAGCCATATAGCGACCATTTATATAAAAGTTTACTAACATACACATTTTTACTTATACACAACTACCCATCCACCACTACCATCTCCATGTTTTTAAACTTGTTTTCATAATTGTAGCAGGAAACAACTACATATAATCAGATGATAAGGCATGGTGACTTGGTTGGTTGCTCCTGGGTCATTGTACCCCGATAGCATAGGATGTTGCTGACAATTAAAAACCCACGACTGATATAGCTCGAATATTGCAGACTGAGGCTCACATAACCATCAAACATCGAAGAAGGTGTTGACAAACTCCAATCGGTTTGAGTTTTATTCTCGTACTCCAAAAGTCAATAATAAGACGACTGGGACACCCGTGCCCTCAACAATACAGTCACACATCAGTAAGTATAGGTATGATAACGTGCATATTTGAACTGCGCCAAATCCACACCTTGAAGCATGCTCCAAGCGTAACATTATTACCCCAGTCAAAGGATCAGCATGCACTCAAATTTTGTTCTCATGATCAGCTCCCTGGATACAACCCAAGCTACCTTATGGGACTCGAGAATGTTAACAGTCACATTACCATTTTTTCCTTATCGGTGGCCCATTCAATGTTGGGTCCAGAGTGGCTTATTTCGAACAAAGTTCACTTGCCAATGTTTTTTTAGTGACCGAAGCCCTACAAACTCTTCAAGCTTGCCGAACACATCCATGGCCACCTACTATCCTCGGCCAAAGTTGCTCTACCTTACTTTATGTAATGTTTACAATATACAGGACAATATTTGTTTGATCATACGTCATTGCATCACCCAGTGCTAAACGAGCTATAGAAATTGTGATACACATTACATGATTTCATCTCATCCATAGCCATGTGAAGTTTACCCGATCCTATTATATTGTAAAGTTCGAACCGATGGCCATTCCGAATTTGTCGCGCTCTGCGTACGCGTTGGCAAACCCCGAATAACAACAGAATGTAATCGATGCGGGTGGGATTCTGTGAAAGTTAATATCAGTAGCTTCCTACCTCATAGACGCTGGTTACCCCAAGCCTGTACAGAAAAGGCAGAAAGAGATGCGCTGCTCCAGCCACGGCCATTACCATGCCGAGGGCAAGCCACCAGAGCATCGTGTCGTAGTTGTAGACTTCGGCAGGCATCCCAAGCAACGTCAACGCTGACATAAAGGACACCGTCACGGACAAAGCTACAGGGATAGTGCCCATCTGACGGTTTCCAACCAGAAACTCTGACGGGCTGTTTTTCTTCCTGTCCTTGATCGCATGGTAGAGGCCAATCCCGGCAGGGATGACAAGTGTACCTCCAAACACAACATAGTCCTCCCAGTGGAGGGTGTTCTTTGTTCCGCTGTTGAAGCTGTAGCGCTCCGTCATTGCCGTCCCTGCTAAGAAATTTAAATATAATTTTCATCGTTATTTTCTGATAACAATACAAGCATTATGCCATACAAAACGCCACAAATGGGTCCTGACAATAAATAAAAGCAACAAACGCCATGCCCATACTAATTAGAAATCGCCACTAATCCGTCCAGTGTACGATTCCAGTATATCATACATGTAAGCATGTGTTGATGAAACAAATATTGGTGATACCAGGCATTCACGAACAGGGCAGCCGAAATTGCCCAACCAGTAGCATCCGTCCAAAACTCATGCAAAGGCAAGTCAATTGTTCACTTAAACTCACGATGTTTTAAGCTAAATATGAAGAATACGGATGTTTTTAATTTCAAATGTGATGTTGTTGATCCGTTAGACTGTGATATCCGTGGGAAATGCGAGACATGTTTACCAAGACAAAGATGATATACAAGTTAAACAGAGATGAATGGTACGGTCAGCAGAAAACACATAAACCGTCGGTCAAAAAGAAGCTCTCAAGGAATTGGATTTCTGATGAAGAATGATATACAGCACAGAGAAACTAAATGCTAATAACACTGAAGGTTGTTTACGGATTGACATGAAAAAATAAAACCCCAAAATAATCTTGTGCGTCTCCAATCTGCCCCCGATAGGTACAAGTTTGCTTGTTTGTTGTTTAACCCCGAATCTGCAATGGTAAATGGTCCACGTAGAATGGTTAATGAACAGTTCCAGAAAGACCTACAACATCTGTTATATACCTACCACAACAATGGATTGATATCCAAATGTGAGACACTCTGGATAGTGTTCTGAATTTCAGTGGATATTCCATGAATGATTTCATGACTTGAAGTGGTATGTGTATGTTAAATAGGAGCGTAGGAAGTTAAGATAATACATACAGACAGAGAAAGATGTTAAGCACACCCTAATATATTTCATTATTGTTTGGTCCCAATCGTTGGAACAGTCATGAAAGCTCACGTGCCATGCATGGTATGCCCGTGCATCATGCTACCCTCGAGTATCCCTAAAAGCAGTATATACAAACGTTAGAATAGCTTTCTTAAGCTCGGTTTCAAACAGTTATTCCATGACATAGTGTGACCATGGCACCAAGGCGATTACCAAACGCCACAAGATGGCAAATAATCGGCATGCATAACGCAAGAATGTCTTGTAATGCCATTGGTCGGAATTTGGGGTATAACCACACTGTCCCAAGCCGTTTAGACGAGAAACATGATCAGGCCGGTGATGTACAGGACCGTCCCAGACAAGGAAGACCTCCCAGACAGGGACCTTCTTCGTCTCATACGCCGAGAACCCTTTTTAACAAGTACTCATCTGAAATAGCTGTGGTTGCCCAATTGTCGTTTCAGCACCAGAACCGAGGGCTAGACGAGTCATAAAGCGTCCCTTGTTGAGAGATCACAACAAAACTGCTCGTACAGCATGGTGTATTGCGCGACAGAACTGGAATCTGAGAACTGGGAGAAAAAAGTTAAGCACACCCCTATTTCTGTACCATGACAGATGCCCAAAATCATGGCATGGGATGACAGACCACAGGAGCTGGGCGATACCAATGTCATCGGATAGAACAAACTTTTGACAACAAATAAAGAAGATATTGGTGAGTTGTGACTGAAATATACTGGCAAAAACATCATGGTAACACAGGTACTGTATTTGACCTCAGACAATACTTTAAAAAAAAGTATGGAGCTGCAGGATTAAGGAAACGAGTTACGTCTGATGTTTCATGTGAAAATGTTCCTTAAAGTCTCTATTTGACATCTACAGATCAGTAGCGGGTATAACTGCCCGGATGACGCATTCTACCCTACGTCTCATGCCTCCAGTCAGGATCTGTTGATGGGTCAACAACAACCACTCCTGACGCAATGCTGCTTCCAATGGGCGTAAATCTTGTACAGGAGGATCTCGTGCCTGTATGCACCGCCCCAAAATATCTCAAACATGTTCAAGGGAGTTCAAATCTGGGCTCATTGCTGGCCAGGGTAGAGTCGTTATTGCATTGGCCCTCATGTAATCCACGACTGCATGCGATCGATGAGGCCTGGCGTTGTCATCCATGTACTGAGGTCGAGTAGCAAGAGGGTGGTTGTCATAATGAGGAACGACGACTGGCCTCAAAACGTCCCGGATGTACTGAGCCCCTGTTAGGTTGCCCCTTATGGTGACCAGACATCTCTCAATCGCAGTTGAGGCCATAGAGAGTGAGTGAGTGAGTGAGTTAGTTGTGTTTAACGCCGCTTTTAACAGTATTCCAGTTATATCACGGCGTGTCAGCTTAATGTGTGAGGAAAGCCCGAAGTGATGCAGGTCTCAGACGTTTACCAGTTCGGTGAAACCCACGAGCACGGGTATGGTGCTGACAAACCTAGAAACATAATCGGGGCGAACCGGGATTCGAAAACACAATCATAGGTTGAGGCCATAAGCTGTGTTGACAACACCAATGCAGTCGTTGCTGACGATGTTGTCGACTCAATATGACGCGTCGAACAGGACGTCTAGCGCGTAGACCTGCTGCTCTTAAACAATTTCGCACGGTCTGGTCGGAGAGTCTGCGCTGTCCGGGTATTTGGGATGTGTTTGAGGTGGCTGTGGTCGTCTTCTACTTAGGTGTCGCAGTCAGATGAAGCGATCTTGGGTGGGAGTGGTTAGTCTTGGTCGCCCCGACCTTTGCCGATGACGTGTTGACCCAAGCTGTTGAAACCGATCCCACAACCTTTAGGTGGTGCTGGTCGCTACATTGAAAACCCTGGCAAAAGCCGATCGGGCTTATCCTGCCTGCAAGGGGCCTATGACGTTGTTTCTTTGCACTTCTGTTAATCTTGGCATGTTGTTGAACTGTCACTGTTCGATAGACGCAGATGCCAGGCAATCAAAATCCCTGCACTTTAATACCGTTCACAGTGCTGATTCACGTTGAGTGCGTGCATCCCCATGGCCCTTTTGTTAATGCACTGGGTGCGTTTTTTTCCGAATTGTACATGTTTCACGACTTATTTTTTGCATGTTCTTCTTGTGATCATTTTGATCCGGGAAATTTGTCACTCACACAATAACTCATTAAAACTCTTCATTGTGCAAATCTTTGCAAAAAATATCTGTATTGCGTTTCTCTTTTTGAAGAGTATATTTAAATATAACCATCAAATAAAATGTAAAATGTCACAATTAACGCACATAATTCTGTTGGTCAACTGAATGGGAAGCACGTTTAACTGACGCCGAATCACGTGACTATAGTGTCCCAGTGTTAGACACTGCGGGCGCTGATAGTCGACATGGTTTTGATAGATGATGGCTGCAGTAGTTGTGTCGGAGGCATTTGGGACTTAATGATCATATGTTCCTTTCATTGTTATGAACCTTACATATGCATAGTCGATCGTGTAAACTTGAACTTAATGTAAGGAGATGAGTCAGTGAGTGAGGTGCCTTTAACGACATTTTAAATAGTCTGTCAGCTTAAGAAAGGAGGAAGTAATACATATATTAGACGTTTGCTTGGCATGTTTTTAGTACGAGTTACTGTTGTGTTTGGTTGTGTTTGTTCGGCGTCTGTGTCATTTCGATCTACAATGAAGAGTTCTCTCGCTTCATGTTGGTTCACAAATTGTACAGTTCTATCTGTTAAGATCACAATGATATTTTAATGTAGTTTGACTGTATGTATGGGTTGTGTGCTGAGAGTGAGTGAGCGAGTGGTTGAATTGTAAGTGATTATGAGAGTAGAGTTATGTAAGATGGTTGAAGTGAGTGGATTGGCTTGCATGTTTTGCTTGATTTGTACATGTGAGTGAGTTATACTTTTACATCGGCAATATTGAAGCCATGTCGCGATGAGAACATGTTTATGATGATAAAATTCCTGTCTACAAAGGACAGTCAAACAATGAGGTAAATATCATAGTTTAGAAATAAAACAAACCTGAACAATATTAAAAATAAATAAATTTTTCAGACAATAGAAAGTAAAACCAGGCTATAGATCACTGGCAACTACAGCTAGACCACCTACCTGGGGATTGTGGGGACTTACAGTGCTTTTGCTTGCTGCATGATTCCCAGCAGGATCTATGCAATCGCTTTGGTCGCGACTGCTTATACGCAATGTTTATCAATCAATCAAAAATAAAAGCACCATCAAGGAATTAAAACACTTGTTGATATTTAATATTTCAATATACATGGACTCACGTGCCACTGTCAGAATAAGAATGTTTGGTATGTTTATCAAATAATAAATCATTAACAAGTATTTGAATTGTCTGACATTTTCAAAAGTAGTGTGCATTGACCTTGATCATATCAGTAAGTTCATTCATAAAGCTGAAACTTGACATGCTTATTTGAGTAATATTTACAAGTATTTTGCTGTTACATATTTTGTTCACTTTATTTAACCTTAATTAGGAGGATGAATGTTTTTACACAAATACAAGATTCCAACCAATTAAAAATAAAATCATTTTCTTTCAGGATTTCCAAATGTGCTAGGGTGTGGAGATGGCACATTTGTTAGAATCATAGGCTCAAAGGTGAATGAAGGTGACTACCTGAATCGTAAAGGCTATCATTCGATGAATGTTCAGGTATGTATATAAATGGTTCACACAAATTATCTATGTAACACCAAAAAAATCATTATGATAACATGATACCTAACAAATAATCGGAATTTTATGTCATTATTTACAAATGAAAGTATACTTCAGTACCAATGAAAACGGGCCTCTGCTCCCTTTCAGATGATCTGTGATGCAGAATACAGATTTATCAACTGTGTAGCAAACTGGCCAGGAAGTGTACATGACAGCAGGATATTCAGGGACAGCAGAATCAGTGTTGCGTTTGAAAATGGTAGGTATCACATTTGATAACCAGACTTTGTAGTTGCTATGAACATCGGTACAAATAACTTTTAAATAAAAAATACAATAAGTAACATGTGAATATTTCTCAAAGCTGGTTTTGTCA